AGTTGTTGCCACCTCGCTTGGGTGTGGTACTGTGTTGTGGAGAGTGTTTGCGGTGCCTCCTGCGGTACTTGAGCAGCAATACCACCAAGGTGATGATGATGACGATGACGATGATGCATCCTGATGTGATTCCTGCGAATAAGGCCACTTTGGAAGCCAGGAGGTTGTTCAGCGAATGCCTTGCCTTGTTTCCTTCAGTGCTGGTACCTGCACAGAAGCAAGAAGAGCCAGTTACTGTGTTTCTGAGACTCTGCTCTCTAGCTTGCAGAAAGAACGCTCCAAATGCAAACAAGAAAGCAGGGCCAATGCTCAACTCACAGGTGAACTTAACAACAGATCACCAGATGAGGTGAAGGAGCTTCAAAGTTCCCACTCTCACTCACCATGCCAACCCCTTCCTAAAGGCGAGACAGCCAATCTGGAACATCCCTAGTTTCAACACTTCAGGATGAATCAGTAACTGACACACCTGGTGAGCTCTGCTCTTGTGACTGTAAGACACTGAGCGGGCTGAATTAATCTGTCTTAGTGGCAGAGTTAATATTGACTCGCTGAGAGCAAAGACCCCAGGAATCTCTGCCCACAAGTGAATCCCACTGGTTTGGATGTATTTTGAGGCTCCTCTGCCTCTAGGGGTTCTAAGAAAAATGCACCCATAGACACACAACCCCACTACACTGCTGTCCCTGGATTTGGTTACACAAAAGGGCTTGTTGAATTTCTCCCGTTTGGACCAGCTTCTAGCTCTGGACGTCTTGTTGGATCATTATTCCTGGTTGATCCAGCAGGACTTGCATCTACATGAAGAAGAAGCGATTAATCATGGCACAGACATCTGACAATGTAGCAAGCTTCAGGAGTTGCAAAGATATCTCAAGAGGCATGAACAACAATGAACATAAGACTCTATGCAAAGCACTGGGAAATACAAGAATATAACCTTCCTTTTTAATCAGAATGGTTATCCTAGTTATTTGTTAGGTTGAGATTAAGAGGCCATTTGTGGAAACTATAGGGATTCTTGCATTTGGCAGTCAAATCATTCCAGATGACATTTCAATTTTACTAAACAATTTGATTGACAGCTATACTAGTCCCTAATTAGAAGAATAATTCTTTCTTTCTTCACAATAGGTTATTCTACGTGAAGATGCGGGTCTTGGTTTGTCCAGATTTGAAAATGAAACAAAGCAGCATAGCCAGTGCTTATGTACTAGACACTTTGATTTTTTTCAAAGAGGTGTTCTGCATTGTAAAGATAAATATACGTGTCTGTGGCATCACACAGACACCCTGTCACACTGGCCTGAACTTTTAGAGAGATCTAAATGAGAAAAACTGAGCATGTCAGTTTGTGGGACTCAACCAGTGGTTCAAAGTGCAGAAAATGGTCTGCCTTCAAAACTAACAAGAGCGGTGATGGTGAGCATCACCCCAGGTGCCACGCTAGCTGGGGGCTGTACCAGCTCACAGTGGGGTCATAAAGCAGCAGTTGATCTTTACCTTGTCCAACTTTCATGATGATCTTCATGGCTCTTGTCTTGCACACCCCTCCTTCCTGGTTATGCAGGTCTTCCAAAGGCCAATTGGATGTAGCTGATTAAAAATAAAATGGACAAAAAAAAAGAACAAATCAGGAAATCAATAGGATTGCATGAACATGAAATGTCTGAAAACAATTAGAAAAATAAGAATTCACTCTTTGTCACAAGTTCGCTGAATGTAGGGATGCTGAAAGCTGAAAAGAAGTAGAAAAATAAAGAGAAATGGATCTTGGAAACATTGTGTAGGCTACCTGCTTCTAAATTCGATTAAACACACCCTCCCATATACATGATTTAGTATTACTCTATAGTTAAAAGGGACAGCACCTTACAAAATACCCACCAACTCCTGGGTGGGGAGCGAAACCAGAAAGTGCAAAAGAGCAAACATGGTAATTTCAAAACTTGGTAATCATCTCTCAACTCCTGCTTCCTCCACTCCAGACCTCCTGCTTAAAGAACAATGAACTTGATGCTATGCTTGTCAAACCTCCAAGTTCTGTAAACACTATCAGGGAAGCCTTCTGACACCCCCTTGCTCCTTCCTCCAGCCAGGAATGTACTGAAGTAGCATACTAGAACTCAAGTCTTCTTCTCATCATCGTGTAAGTCCCTGCAAGCATGTGTTTTTATCAACCCCCATCAGCCACTTCAGCCAAGTTTCCTGCTAGGGAAAATTCCAGCTGGACAGAGAGTTTGCACACACCTTTCCCTGTGTGGGTCTTGAGACAACTTGGATATAACCAGGTGGGGGCAACATTGGCCAGCTGGGCTCCTTTTCCACTTTAACAATGAGGGGAGAGGGGAAACACACAACCCTTCTAACAATGTCTTTCTGTCTGTCTAATCTGTTCTGTCTATATACATTGCTGTTTTTCCTTAAGCCAGTGAATTCTCTAAATGGCTTTGTAACTAAAGCTACAAAGAGATGGGCTGTCAGGCTGTGTAAGCAGGAGCAGGCTTTCAGTTTAGAGTTCAAGTTTGAGTAGGAGGAGAGGGTGGAAGGTGCTGGATGCTGCTTCCTCTTGATTTCAAGGGGCAAGGAACAAAAGTGTTTTATAGACACTCCTGTAATTTTAATCACCTTCCACTTTCTCTATCAAAGTCCAGTCTGCTAACACTATACTCAAAAGAGAATGACAAATGGACAGGTGTTCTGGCAATTCTTTCATCCTGGTTGCTTTGTTTTGTTTTCCAAGCATATCACCTCCAAAGAGCTCCAAATGCTTTCACGGTTTGTGGAGGTTTGTAACTAAAAAACAGATATGAATTCACTTCTGTGTTCTGGAATTATCAATTTCTACCCTCAGTATATTCCCCAAAACAAAGGGTGCCTCTTCTCCAGAGAGTGCACTTAACCTTGAGTCTCATAGTTGCATCTCTTTCCTCGGTATTTGCTGATACTAAGCTTTTTCTGGGAAAATAGGTAATAGTTGCCATAATAACTTTTTTGATGAATTGCAGTAAGCTAAACAGTATCCAGAGAAACAGACTTGAGAAAATGCTTGTCAGATAAGTCAAAATAAAGTTTTAAAGAGACTATGTGTTTGAGAACCTAAAAAAAGGGCCTTAGTTTTTTACTGTGTTATCATTTTCCTTACCTTCTTTTCCCATTTGCAAAGAGTGGCTCAGCCACAGAACCTCTCTGCTAATGCTTCTCACAGTGTGTCGTACTTTGAGCAGTTTCTGGTTTGGTCTTGGTCAGTGTGGAATTTTCAGTTACTGCTTACTGTGTTTTCACCTCATTTCTCAGAAATCAGAATATATATCCATAGAGAAAGAGAAGAAAATTGATATGATTAGTGAAAGTACCAGTCAAATGTAAGTTTGCTTGATTGGAGGAGAATGCCAAGTTCTACACTTAGGATAAGGCACCTCATGATAAAGCACATCCTATTGAAAGTTAAAAAAAAACAGATTTCTTTTCCTGATAAATGTTGGAACACTCATGGGAATAGGACAGTGATTACTGAAAGCTAAGCAGGGTGCAGGGAGGACTACAGATATATTTGGCTTAATCTCAAAGGGAAAAATCAAATTCAAATGGAAAAGAACACCAAAAGGAAGGCAGGCTGGGGAAGTCCAACACCTGCAAACACATGTACAGGCCCTAGCTGAATTCTGCTCTGTGGCAGGTGGCAGGCATAGTACCCCCCCCCACACACACACAGAGAGAGAGAGAGAGAGAGAGAGAGAGAGAGAGAGAGAGAGAGATTTTAGTCATATTTATATATACTTTAATTTGTAGGCAGTGTCTTTTCTGAGCCAGTAGGAAACTTGTAGGGCACTTGTGACACTCATGCCTTTGAGTGTCAGGTCTCTTCCTAGATAGAAGCTTCCTAGAAGACTGAGGTGGTAAGAACTGTGCTACACGCAGGTGGTACCATCAGGTTCCAGGACTGGGGTCCCTCTCACAGTTGGAGAGGTGACATGAGAAACCCTGCTGAGGTCTGGCCTTTCCTGATCCTCTGAGTGTTGAGCAAGCAGGTTCATACTCAAGTGACATGGGACTGTCTGCCACCACCATACCCTGTGCCCCACAAACTGTAGGCCAAAAGCAATCCTTGCTCTTTTGAGCTGCTTTTGCCACTGCAACAGTAGAAGAAGTGAAGGGACCAGCTCCACATTTCAGCAGCCTTAACAGCCAAAAATGTATTTGTCTGACCTTGTATTAGTCTGTGTTGCTAGACTTGAAAGTGAGACAGTCATGAAGGCCACAGCATTTTCCCAAGGATCAAGCACATCCAAAGAGTTAGAGCTTTAGGGTAAATGTGTGTATAATGATAAACTATATAAATTATTTTTTGTCAAAGTTATCTTCTTTTTTCTCCCTCCAAATTTCTGCCTATGCCTCTTTGCTATTGTTTTAAGTGTTTTATTTCACTTTAATTTTTATCTTCATCACAATGGGCACAGCTAACAAACACACTTCAGATATACCCCCAATGAACACCTATCCCCTACTCCTGAAATAATGCCACACTTTTATGACAGATGCAGGTGTGTCATACAGGCAGCACTATTACACTTTACTCTTTTTCATCAGAACATAACATGACCACCCATACTGGCTTTTGTCTGTATGCCCCATGCTACTAA